AGAGCACCGATACTCGGCACGCTCTACCGTACTCTCTCGCTCGCACACCTCCCTCCCATAGACCACCGAAATTCCTCGGCACCCGTCAACACCGACGGAGAGCACCGATACCGCGGCTCGCTCTACCGCTCTCGCTCGCACGCCGTGACGTCACCCGATTCCCGGAATCCCGCGGCCACGAGATGGCTCATTACGGTAAGGCATTCCCGCAACGGCCAAAAGGTAGATTTGATAAACTACTTATGAAACTACATCTATTCTGAATTTATCTGTTACAAATATACAAGTGTAAGGCAAGATATAAAAACGAATGAAATCCATTAACGATGCATTTAGAATAAATTGTCTTGTAGTTAAGTGAAAAAATATATACTTTTCCGTTTAATGTTTCATGAGTAGGCAGTAGTTTGGTTGTGTAGTAAACCAGAGACCCGTGAGGTGAGACCGTGGGGTCATAGAACCCTCTGTGGTGGCGCCGGCACACCGCGGGGTGAGATCGCGGGATCACAGAGCCCCGGAAACATGGATGAAGTCACTGGGTCACCTCAAGCACTGCTTGTTTACTTCATATTTAGACAGGTCTCACGACGTTATATGGACAGCATTTGATTTGACCAGGCACACGACTTGTAGCTGAAAGAATGTAGATTAATCTCCAGTCAGTGGCAATAACAATAAACGACCACAACACTGTTAAAGTCACCCTTTATTTGCAGCGGTTGACACTGCAGCTCGTCATGCGTACCCCGGTTAATTCACTTTGGATAGCTCTTCCATCGTTCTATGGACAAGTTATGTCTTGATCAAGCATTCAGTTTGAAGCTGAAAGAACGTAGATTAATCTCCTGTCATTGAAAATAACAATAAACGACCAGAACACTGTTAAAATCGCATTTTATTGAGGAATACCACTATATTTTTTGAATGGTGGCGCAATCCGTGGCGAATCGCTGAAATTGACAGTCAATTATATGGCTAGCAGTTTCAGCGATTCGCCACGGATGGCGCCACCGTTCAAAAAAATAGTGGTATTCCGCGATTAAATGAGATTTTAACAGTGTTCTGGTTGTTTATTGTTATTATCAATGACAGGGGATTAATCTATGTTCTTTAAGCTTCAATCTGAATGCTTGGTCAAGACGAATGCTGTCAGCATAACGTTGGAACAGTTGTCCAAAGTGAATGACGTTTTTTTCTTGAACTGTGTCTAATCAACTCTAAAACATATTGATCGGACTTGGTTAGACACAAGTTTTCTTATAACTTTTTTACAAACGGCGACCCATAACTAAAACTTTTACAACACTACTCAGGATGATGACCTTGACAACATACGAAATAGCCGTCAAAATCGGAGGTGGCTCCCGTATTGCAAATATTTACCAAAAATTGTTTTTAAAACTTAGTGAAATGAATTATTACTTATATGTTGAAGACATTTACTTCAGTAATGGTGTCGGAATAAAGAGGGATTTCTTTGGTTTCTTTTCTTTTTTGACAAATTCTCTCTCTAACTGGTTGGAACTGCAGGCCAGACGGGACCAAAAATAGTGAACAACGGAATCCGACAATAAATATGTTTTTATTACACATACATCTCGTACGAGGGTTACACGATATTAATACATGTTCATTTAACTGTCCAGCAATCAAACACGTTGTATTTTTTTATCTCTATTTGTCTCGCCAACCATCAGCGTCTCATCAACACGACCCGAAACGTTGTCGTCATCATCGCCACCATTGCCAATCGTCATTCATACAAGCGCACACATATCGCGTAGAGTTTCATTGGCATCGTCATACATGGGTAAAACATCGTTAGATTAGGCATGATTGACTACTCCGTGTGCTACGGGGTGTCGAACAACATCGAAGAAAAAGAAAATAAGAATGGCGAAAATCCGACAGGTGGGGGACAATATATAAAGAAGAAATGATAATTTTCGTCGTTCGATCGGTCGGTGTCTCGTCTCGACTGAATTCCCGTTCCCTGTTATTCCCTCGATATTCTCTTCCTTCTTTGTTCCCCCCCCCCCCCCCGAATTTGTCTCGTTCGACGCAATCCGATATTAATCGTTTTGAGCGGAACCTCCCCGCGGAAAATCGTCAAGGTTCCCAGGGGGTGGGAAAATTTGCATTTCTTTTCATTCTTCCCCCTCGAAAGAGCGTCCGCACGCCTGCGTCACGTCAGTATCTCTTCGTTTTTTGTTACAGGTTTAAACGTTTAATTATCATTAATAACCTCGTTGCTTACGCCCTAAGAAGTTCGTTACGTTAATCTTCTGCTTAATATCTAATCTCGGTAGCCTTATTGTAATACTCTTATTAAGTCTAGGCTTGGTGGCCAGCACCAAAAAAAACACTCACTAGGTTCACTGTCTACGACACAGATACAGATTCGTTTCGCTCTCGCTCTATCTCTCTCTCTCTCTCTCTTTCTCGAATGGGCCTCTCCGTGCACAATTCTCACCTTAGTCGAACCATTTCTTTTCTTTTAAATTCGACTCCCACTGAATCGCTTGTAAATTCGATAAACAGTTTTTGGTTGACTAGGAAGTGATAGGATCTGTGTATGTCTCTCTTCGCTGTTACAAACAGTAAATATTCGTTTTATTTGTCTCTCGGTACTTCGTGTAAATTTATACGTATAAAAATCATAGAAAAAGAAAACAAGATTCGATCACAGAAACACATGGTGTACCATCGTCAGACATCGCAAATCAGAGAGAAGTCGATTTAAAGAGAAGAAAACAGCTTCAACGCAACTTTTAACATCCATTCTAGGTTGTACAAAATTTTACGGGATTGGAGTAGACCGATCAACGATTGTTTACAGAGAATCACGAAATTCACGTTTGAATTTTCGCGGCAATTTTCAAACCGAACGGTTACACGCCCTTCCACCCTTCTCTAACGTCCCGATCGATACTCCAATCAGTGACGTGTGGTCACGCACAGTCAAGGCCCATTCGTCGAGAAAACAGCGTTACACGTTACCGAAGAATTGACGTTCGACGACAATCGAGACAATTGATCGAAACGAATACCAATACAATGATTCCGTGATGACTTTCCGTGTGTCTCGAGTCGACGAACCAATTTGAGCGATTCACAGACATCCAAGCGAGAGAATACCTCGTAATGATTTTTTGTTGATTTCTCGCCTCAACTTTCTTCACATTTTTTTTTCTTCGCTTAAAACACATCGAGCTGCAAGGTTCTACCTAATTAGTTTTTTTTTTCGCTTTGTCACGGATTATGATTCCCTAAAATCTACCATCGCTAGAAGCCAGAACGCGCGATGATTCCTCGTCGGGAAATAATGTGTACGTGTGAGGGTGTGTGTTCGGTTCCATTCTCTTTTTTTCGTATTTCCAGATGAAGAAAATTTCGTATCTCTGTTCCCCGTTTCGTCGACGGCGACTAAAACGTTACTCTTTGGTTACAAGACAAAAAAAAAAAAACAATCATGTCTCGTGTATTATTCACGTGTGCGCGTGTCAATGTACGTACATGCGGTGTATGTATGTTTTAAAAATGTGTCAGCCCGAACGTCAGGCCCGCGTTAATTTTAATATGAACAACTGAACGAAAAAAGGCCAGCCTTTAGCGCGGTTCTATATTAAAATTAATCGTCAATCCCGCGCCACGGGTACCGCCTCTCTTAACGATCCAATCGTGATTGTGGCGACATACTATGCGCCCATGAGATGCAGTGTTGCGTCGATTATTGTCTGACTGGTCCTACACGATTTTTGTCAGGGCGTGATCCCCACCAATGGCGAAGGGAGGCTGTGAAACCTGTCCAGCGCATACTTTGATGCCGCCCCCCTACCCAAAAAATTTATGAGGGTCTGAAGCATGTCTCCTATTCGATTCTTGTCGCGTCGCGGACCCAAGTTCTTGATAATAATCGACGGAACAATGTATCTCTGCCCCCACGTTTGGCTCTGGTTTGCGCCATGTCCACGCGGCTTCCTACTACGTACTAATCAGCGAGCATGATGAAATCTTAGGATTACTGGGAGTGGGGGGATAGGCTTAGTTCCTCTAACGATTAGGTTGTTAATTTACCGAGGGGGTGATTATCGGAGAACCAAGAAGGATGAACGTAAAAACGCGATACTACTGTCGGTTCCTCTACAAAGTCTTCTGATCGATCCCTGTCGCCCGTTCCTCGAGCGTCATTCTTCTGTTCTGAACATCTTATCCCCTTTGTACTGTGTGTCTCCGACCTCTACGGTACGGCATTGTGTTTCTCTGTGACTAGTCTTTCGCGCCGATCTCTTAAGAGTCGAATCAGAAGCTGCTCGTTTGGCGCCTCCGCGAGATTCTGTCGCTGGCATTCCTCCTACGCTCGTGCTCGACGAGGGGCCAACCTGTGTTTATGTCTGTGTGTGTGTTTATGTGACTTGCTTCGCAGAAGATCCTCCGAATCGTTCAAAACGTTGGGCGAACAATCTTAATCGCACCACGGCTTGTACCATGTAACTGATATGTCAGTGAAGGATCCCCCGTTACCGCGAAATTCAGATTTCCTGCATCCTTCAGTCCCGTATCGGTTCAGGGGGCACGGAACCGCCCTGGGGATCAGTGGGCTAACCACCTGTTCCTCTTCTCCAGTCCGCTAACTCGCGCAGGTACGTGTATTATGACAGAGATTCGTCACCTCCTTCGAGCTCGAGACACCACTATCTCGTGATCATCCGATCGAACGACAACAAACGTTTGTGGATGTTGGGGGGGGGGGGAAGGAAAAGCGACAATGGTAACAACGACGATGCTCCCTCTGTGCAATCGTGAACCATCGAGGACTCACTCTCGGACGCTATCGGCGCGCTTCGAGCCAGCCGAAGCGCGGCGACACCGAGGACCGTTCCTCGTCCTGAGACCCGCGTCAGCGAGGAGAAAACGATCACCAAAACGTACGAGGGTGGTTTCCTCGACGTCTGTCACTTTCAATTGTTTCTCTTCGTTTTCTTTCTTCATCTGTCTATGTCTATCTCTCTCTCTCCTCGTCTTCCTTGTTCTCGCGACGCAACACAGAAAAGATCATTTCTCCCCAGTCGTCTAGCGTCTGAACTAGCAACGACTAGACGGTTCCCTTCCGTTTCCACGCCTTTCGTCTTTCCAACAAGGCTTCAATAATTTCCACCGTTCCAGGGAGTGGAGCTTGGCCAAAGGTCAATAGGTCGACACAAAGATACCCGGCCGGCGGCAGCGAGCCAGATGTCACTGACGCACACGCCACCAGGTCTGCTGCACCTTCTCGTGAAGTTTTTTGCAGATACCCGCGAGCCTCCGTCACATCCCAGCCTCCGCGGCGTTCTCGTCCGTCTCACCGCCCCCTTCCTCGCTCGTTAGGGTCGTCTCGGCCGCTTCACCACCTTCTCCGGTGTCTGTGGCGTCCCCGGTCTCATCGCCCTCTTCCAGTGTCACCTGGACGACATAATTCCCTAGTTAGTTCGAATCTTTGACTATGTTAGACTTCAGAGACAGATGCTATTCACATCTTACGCAGTGCTGCCCAGGGATAGGGTACGAGGCACACTTTAAAAGCCCTCGCCACTACCAAAAAAATGCTACCCTTCGACGTAAGTGGCAGTTGATGACGTTATGGTTAAGTCTACACTTCGTTCGTGCCCAATCGCCCGTTAAGGGTGTGAAAACTAACCTCAAAGTCAAATAGGCACTCCCACTTTTTTGCGTATAACCCTTAAAGTACAAGAGATAGAATAAAATATTTCGAATAAAAGTTTAATGGTACAATAAGCGCTATAAACATGCATTGTCAAAATTTTGAAGAAAGTTTTTTTCTTAACAAGAAAATTTTAACAACACTTTTTTCAAAATTCTGTTAACGCAAGTTTATAGCGCTTATTGTGCCATTAAACTTTTCTTTGAAACGTTTTCTTCTATATCTTGTACTTTAAGGGTTATACGCACAAAAGTGAGAGTGCCTATTTGACTTTGAGGTTAGTTTTCACACGCTTAACGGGCGATTGGGCACGAATGAAGCATACCGTTATTCTTGCCTTGAATCACTCTATAAACCCACAAAGTTGCATTGAAATCCGTGAATAAGGGTTCGCGTTGTTCCCTTGTTAGAGTCTTGGGCCAGGTTTACACTGATAGAGAAGCTACCGCTAGTACCCAAGAGACAGATAAACTTTTCCCTATCCTTTTCGCCCCAAAGTACTATGGTCTGTTTTTCGAAAGATGATGCCTGGGAGGTAGGCCCGAGTTTTCGCGGTGTTGCCGCGATCGCGAGACACCTACAGCACTCGTGTCTCTCTCACTCTTCGCGTCTTAGCGAATGACATGCGACCGTCGACGTGAGTCCTCGCCTACGGTCGTCTGTCTCCATCGCTGGTATTACAAACCTCTCGAGAAGGACCTATCTACAATCTCAAGGAGTGGGGACTGCGTTCGGGACGTGGCCGTCAATCATCCATTGTCTGGAAATGGCGGAGAATGTTGACGAGACGCTGAACGTTTTCACACGTCAAAAGTTAAAATACATGAATAAGAAAAAGTTTATTTCTTTTGAAAGAATGTATTGTACCCAAATATCGCGCAACATATTAAAAGGGGATTAAATTAATACGTAGGTTATTAAACGCTACACGTGGAAATCGCAGGGTAAAGAAGGAAGTTGGTTTACCGAGCGTCTGAGCGAGAGGCTCTCGTGCCGAAGTGCTGGAGGTTGGAAGGAGACACACAGTGGCAATGAGACCGTCACAACGTCGCACGAAATACGTAGCTAACGTTGGATCCCCGCCAGGCTACGCGCCGAGGCAGGCCAACCTCCCAGGCATCATCTTTCGAAAAATAGACCATAGCGCTAGCTACTCTACCATTTACTAACCCAATGTGAACCCGGCCTTTAGTCCCTTCGCAACGAAGACAAAGCGATGAATATAGCTTGGACAGCACCGACCAGATTATATCACAAATGTTGTTTAGCTTACCTGGAAGTGTATCCTATCAGCCTGCTGGTCGTTCCCTTGCTGTTGCTGTTGATCATCGGACGGTGGTGACGGAGGGATCATCGACTGGTACCAATCACGGTTCTCCTCGAGGGTATCCAAAATTTCCTGTGCATCAGGGTGCACCAGGTCCGCCCACGTCTCCCATAGGGGATGGACGATGTAATCGATGAAGCCGACCTGCGACTTCTCGATGGTGGCGCTATGCCGATCGCACATCGGGCTGATGTCCATGTTCTGTTCCCGTTCACGATCACCCTGGAGGAAGAACTCCTCCATCAATAGACTGACCCATCGTCGATAGAGAGGCAGGGGTTTCGTGGGATTTGACAGGTCAGCGCAGTGGACCAGATTCTCCAGAACCTGGATACGGTCCGTGTAGTTGTCTAACAGAAGAACACCGGAACCGGCTACTTTCTTCGTCTCCACCATGGTCTTCAAGTCCGCGAGCAATGACATATGCTTCGACATGTCCGTCGACAGGACCATGTCGATGACCATTTTACGGAGTGTCTGGCGTTGCTTCTTCGTCATATTCACGAATATATCGCAGCCCTCGTTCTGCAGGAGCTTGAACGCCACCGCCAAGTGGTGATTCTCCAGAACAGATTCGTCATTGTACATCAAAGCGAGCTCGGAACCTGAACGGTGAACGTATACGAAGAGATTAGCAAGAGCGTTGTCAGACCTTTTTAAGACACAATCTACCAATTTGATACTCACTCGAATTGATGAGGAACTGATTGGTGAGTCCGGGATGATCCACGTCGTGAATGGTAGCAGCAAATAGGGCAGCGGTGATTTCCAATGGCGTGAACACGGACTGCAATGAACACGTCGTCAGACTCTAGTTAGTTGATAGCGTTCGAATCAACAGTAATTAGGTACTAAACATCGGCAATTACAGTAAATTCTAATTCAAGCCTGCTGAAAGTATCTAATTGACCGCTAAATGACTCTAACCGATAACCAAATGGTTCTAAATCCATTGAACCGCGATTCCAGGAACAGCTCCCGGAACGAAGAAAGGGGGGATATCGAATGAGCCGGTTGTTTTCGTCACGTACGTGTTGCGAAACTAGCGCGTGCAAACAACAATGAATACATATTAACCTCAAGTGCGGGCGTGTTGAGCAGAGCGTGGGTGGATTGGGTCACGTCGGCCGCGTGGAGGCTATTGTGGAAGGGATTGTCCTTGACGTAGTGATCCTCGAGGGTCATCATGAAGGTCACGAAGGTCTTCGGTGGTATGGCCAGGGATTTGAGCAGGTCTCGCCTCTGGAAGACTGTGTAGGCGACGCAGGTCAACGGTCTGTTGCTGCTCAGCTCGCCTATCCTGAAGATGTCAATGCCCCACTTGTCGATGTCAGACAGAAGCTGTAAATTCCGAAAGAAATCATCAGCAATTGCCTTCGTTTAATTCATAATCAGTTCACTTGAACCACATTAAAAACATATACATCAATAACTGTCAGAATAGAGATGCTGGTGTCTAGATCTCTTTTGATCTATAACATTTGTAATCGTCGTTTCTGAACTGATATACGTTTTATTCGACTCAGCTGGGGTTCAGACTACCTAAGCCTACACCGATCCACGATTCTTAAGACGATACTGCAAGTCACCTTCTCTCCACGAACCAGTTTGTTTTTGTTTACTGATCTGAGAAGCTCGCTGAAATTTTTACGGGTGGGCTAAATCAATCAGTATGAAATTGTTTTCTCGGTAGGATTTATTCCCTCGAGATACGAGGATATTTGGAACCATTGCCGGGTATGTATATAATTCATCAATTCGGACATTTTACAAAAAAACCGAGGTCACAGAGCTGCGTTTCCTATAGTGCACATAGCATCGATTTGTGGCGCATATATATAGAGGTTCTGAAACCGAGTAGAGACGAAAGATTAGGTACGATTCATCACTTTGAAAACTAGAAGGATTCCGTCCAAGTAGTTTTAGAAACGAAGATTCTGTGGTCCCAAGAATTCGCGGATCGCCTGTCGCGTGCAACGATTCTCGTAAATTAAGGTGGAACGATAATGACGGCGATAAGGGATTCGGGAATTTGGGTTATCATACCCGACCCATGACCTCGTCCTAAATCGCTTCCCTAATCGTGCGTGCGACCTGCCGCAGCTCGTAACAAGCGTCGCCGAAAAAAAAAACACAATCTACGTCGCCTAACGTGATATCTCGCTATCAGCATTCTGGCGGACGCGTACAGGCGGCCACGGTCTTGCAAATAAATGCCGGATAGATGATGCCTTGAACCGTCGAATCGCTTGTTTACGGCGTCCTTGATCAAATACTATACTCCTCGATAATCGTAGCCGATTCGATAATACAAAGGAGACTCTCGACGGTGGATGATGGGTCACGTAGCCACCAAATGGTATTTCCCCAAAGACCCTGTCTCCGCCGCTAGTCATCCTTTTTCTATTCGTTCCCTCCCTCCGTTTGCCGTGCTAATCTGCTCGTATAACCAAGACCATGCAAATATTTAACAGTCGTCACATCTTTCATGCCACTGGAAATTTCCGAGACCGGAACGAGGACTCGCGGTACTCCTCTCGGAACTGGAAAGTTAGCGTCTGCACGGTATGCGGGTCCAATTTTTTCTGACACGATCTTCAACCTCTGGTCTACCTTCTCTCCAGTTAACCCAAACTGAAGACATTTCTGGCGAGAAAATGTGTACAATTCCAATGTTGGCGATGAGTGACCTAGGATACCTAAGCTAATCTGTCCGATCATCATCTGTGTTAGGCTAAAGGCTCTTCCTAGTTAGCGCCGCAGCGCCGTTCTTGTTGGTCTGTTTCGCTGCTTCTTCATGTTTTCCTTTTTTTAACTTCGTAAAGCATCTTTCCAGTTCTGCGCAGGATATAGAACACTACAGTGTTTGACGCTAGCGTAGCATCAAGAGGAGTCCCGCAAAGGACCGGAGAATACTGATCCAAACGAGGACACGGGAATACTGATCGAATCGAGGATACGAGAATACTGATCCAAACGAGGAAGTTACGAGCTGCTATTTCCAGAGACGAAGGACATATTCCAGATGGGCGGCCGCGACCAACAGGTCGGACCCCCGGTTTAAACTCTCAGACGTGTCCGAGTTTGTGTTCGAGCGATTACACGTGCCACGGGTCTCGTTTATATCCGATTGATAACCGGACAACAGCACGGGGATTAGCAGGGGGATTAAATCTGGAGTATTGCAGCGTGATCCGATTTGTGGTCTCACCGCGATTTGGAGCTTTGGCGGCAAACTGTTGGCTGAAGAATGTGAAAAGGAAAGGAGAAGGAGAGGGAGAGGGAGCGTTTCGTCCTGGGCCTGCTAGTGGACTCGTCAGTAAGGCTTTCTAGCAGACCCTGCCTTAGACGCGGGGATATACGATGGTCGGTTAAGGACGTATATATACGAACGAGGAAGGCTTCAGGTAGTTGCGGGAAACGTGTCAACTCAGTAGACCTCTGGTGGCGAATGTAGGAAGTAGTGCCGCCACAGAGCTATGGAAACGTGAAGCTGGGAGTCTATCGGGTGGTATCGGGCAATATATTTCCGGGATGATAAAAATAATTCAAACTCGTGGATCGTCGACGTTTTGTTCTACTGACTCGTCGGGATGGGACACGCTCGGACTTCCCCTCCCGTTGCGCAAGTGACACTTGCTGGAAGACTGAACGCATAATCGAGGACGTCCGATGAGTAGAAAGTAAGGGTACCGTTAATTAATTTCGCTTTCACGATTGTAGATTGCCCCTTCCAGGCGGTTATGTAACCTCGGTCCGGGATGATTGATCGATCAGATTATCCTCAGCGAGGAGAAATTAACGAATTTGGCTGAGATACCCATCTAGATCTGTGTATTTAAATGGTACTTTCATCGGAAGCTGAGTCTCTGGGGGAATTCCGTATCTCTCGATGTTACCACCAGTACCACTGTCACAATTTTTATTTATTTTTCAATGAAGCGATTCGAGATACGTAACTGGAATTATGTCATTTAGAAAGAATCATGTAACGTGAATTTTTATGAGTGGGATAGGAAAAGAAATTCAATGAGGACTTTCAGATTGGGAACTTAAAGTCCATCTTTGTGAAATTGTAAATTCATTGACACATCTTGCTCAATGGAAATTGAGGAAGAGGTAGTACTAGACCCCAGAGCTAGTCGCCGTCTGACTATCGTACAATCTTCTTGCCCACTTATGTGTCAATCAGACCTAGCACTCTAACCACTACAATATCTAACTTCAAAGCAATCTGTATTTTACTAACACCTAATAAACTACAATCGAACAATGATTCTACCTCATCCTATTCAATTTCTTCTCCATCAAGGCTTCAACAGACTGCAGATGTTCAAGCAAAATAATCTTGTTGGGGTCTAATGGATCAACAAACGAACATGTTTCCTTCAGCGAACAGGTGTACAAGGTAGAACAGTTTACCTTCAAATATATTAACGTTCTATTGATCAAATCCACAGGTCAATAGTCAGTTGATCAAAGAGAAGTTCAAAGACACCAGACAGCCTCGAGGTCAGTGACCAGTCGAAACTAAAAGTAATGGCGCAGCGTACCTTTCCCAGTTCCTCCTCGTGAGGTGTGTCCACGCCATAAAGTGGCACACGCTCGCCAGTAAAGCTGTTCGTGTGCGTCAGCGGCCGTTTGACGCCGCTGATGTGAGACATGGCGGCCGGGCCCCTCTGCACCCGGTCCTTCTTCTTCGCCGCCCTTGCATCTGTGCTGCCCGTAGCCGCGACTGCATCCTCGATTCTCAGTGAGGGCAAATCCAATTCCTGTTGTTTATCTGCAAACAGAAATAGTTCCCCGAATATTAATTAACACGTTGACCACCTAGGGGGAACCTATCGTGATATCGTGGGACTTATTGATCAATGACACTAATGTTAGCCTAACCTGTACAGGCAGATTTTTTCCAATGCCTGTTATAATCTTTTGTAACCAGAATGGTTACAGATTTGATGCAAGACCTGCTCTAAACAATTTGCGCGCAGATTGACGGAAGATCCTGCAACACAGTTTAGGTTATACATTGACTTAGGTTAGTTAGCCCTGGGTTGTGTTGCAGAATCTGCCACCAATCTGCCGTCAATTTACTTCACGATTCTATCAAGCTCAAGTTTTGCTTTCTATGCAAAACTCAAGCCTAATGTGGAAAGAGATGGCTATGGATTTGTAGACAGATTTTGTCACTATTTGCTGTAAATCTGCACGCAAATGGTTATCTGGGTAATTAGGACACTTTAATAAAAAAAATAAAAAGACTTGTAAACTTATTGGTAGTATTACTATCGCACCAAAATTAACCATTACCATTTGTTTTCCTGTCTGTCCCATATGAACACAGATCGTGCCAGAACAGGACGACGTGACTTTTGAACATAACCTATTTATTCTTCATTCGAAATTAATATGTTACGTACTTCACTTGCATATACGACTGAATTACACACCGATCGTCAGTGTTTAATTAAAAATGAAATACTCAACTATATTGAAAGTTTTATTCAGGAGTTAATAAATTTGTTAAAAATTTAATTTAATCAATTATACAGAGTTTATAAATTGTTCTGCATCAATCTGAAATAAGAATTTACGAATTTTGCAAGATTTCTGGGATCGATTATTAAAGTTCACGATTTGCTGAATGAATTAAGCAGGAATTTTATAAGAAACGCAGCGTGACGTTGTATTACATAATTCTCCTCATGTTGCATTACATGAAAGATAAGAAAAGATAAACCTCGGATGTTATCCGTGAACTTTTTATCTGAATTGAATCGATGAATTGGCTCGAACTCGTCTGGCAGGTATACAAGGACATATGCCTGAAGATAAACTGACGTCCAAGAACAAAATGTAACAACTACTTATTATTCATTCCGCTATTAATATACATACATCGTTGTTTATCGTACTCTTGAATAATTTCCATTTTCAATCCTTTCACTATTTCATACCGTCTTGTAATTTTAAATTACAGAGAGAAATTTGTAATATTAAACTATCCCAGAAAGAAGTATATTTACAAAATAATAATTTTTAAATTTAAATAATAAAATTTTAATAATTTTAACCAAAATTTTAATGTTCGATATACGACACCGGAATTGTAAAATTCACAGGTACTACAAATTTCTGTGCTACGTTGAATGCAGAAAAAATTTCATAAGAATAGTACATATTTGGAATTTTCGAGCTTTTTTTCTGTCCACGGAAACGGCTCGTTTACGTAAATGGTCGACCATTTCCTGATTCTGGGAGCAAAAAGAAATCCGTTGCACAAAGCGGAGCCGGATGGGATGAATGTTCGCGAAATATATACGCGTTTACGGGATCTCAAGGGCCTTTAATGCGTAAGAGTCAGTGCTCGTTTCATTGTCCGTGATAAATGTGGTGCTCCCGCCGGTGGCCTCGACAACTAATTCTTTCTTGCCTCTTTGGTTCCCAGTTATTGGGCACGTGAGCACCACTAATATATTTCATTCGAATAAATTTAATATTCGATCATTCAATATTCCATATTTAATTCGTGGGATTAAACGTTAACAATATTAAATTTGATATTAAACATGTTAAAGTAATATATCACTGACAAAATAAATGAACTGATGTATTCCATCAAAATTATTGAACATTAATTCATTATAATTAAATATATTTCATTTAAATAAAGAAACCTTCAGAAATTATTCTGTACTTTAATTGGGTCTGAATTAAAATTTTTCTAGAGTCGAATAGGGGCACTAATAATTTCGAGAAAATATCGAAGAGCCAAGCGTTTTTTCAACTCACCAAGGAAAGTGCTGCAGATGTACTCCGAAATCTGGTTGCCAGACTTCGAGGACTCCGAGAAGTGGGAGAGTTCCTTGTTCAGCATCCGCTTGAACTGTAAACAATAAATATAGTAAATTAGCGACAGTCAATTGCAACTTATAAAGCAGTATCTTACTGAACCACTATTTCTTTAAATGAATAAATAAATCATACAACAGACTCCAAATTCTAAATATTCTTCCACTACCCTTTTTCCAAAATTCCAAATCTGGAAGCATCACCATCAAATTTGACAGAACATGGTGAATTACCGATTTTATATTCAACTGAAATACACTTATAAGTTAAAAAGAGTTCGATTCATTTACGCAAAAATAACCAGAACCTCTTCTATAGTCCCTCAATTAGAAATTAATTAACAGTGACAAAACTTGGTCAATTACTTTATATCCAATTAAGATATATTTTTAAGTTAAAACAAAACAGTTCAATATTCATTTATGCAGAAATAACCAGACCACCTCCTTTATAGTCACTGAAAAATTAATTAATAGCGACAGACACCTTTTTAATAAATTTTCTCCGTGCAAGATAAAGCTGTGTATTATTCTTTATCTTCCAGAGCATCGCGATAGAAAATTCTGTGACGATGCTCGCGTACACGGAGCGGAAGCTCGTCAAACAAGAGCGAGATGCTCGTTTCCGATTCGTCGAGGTTCCCCTTATCTCGTGAAATTTACGATATTTGCAGCCGGTGTGCCGTGTATGAAATTTCGACGCAGATAAATACGACACGGCACACACATACACGCCCAGATGCACAGAAACAGGACTGCAGAATAAACGTGGACGCAGAAAGGCTCGAGATTCGCAAACAGACCGGCCGCGAGCTCGTTGTCTGGGCATTAGCCGGTCTCTTGTCAGCTGAAAGATTCCTCTTTATCCTCCCCCTCCACGTGATTACGCGGATATCGATGCAGATACACGCACGGAGAACGGAGTAGTGACCTGTTATCGAATCGATTGTTTTGCGAACACTCGATTAAACAACCTTCTGTTCCACAAACACATTCCCCCTCCACCCAGTCAATCAATCTATCAGATTTTCTTACACTTTCCACTCTGCAAACGAGAAATACAGTGGAGCCTCCCGTATCCGAACTGACAGGGAGACATGATCTTTCGGATAACGAAAAAAATCATTTTTTCTGATAGTATACTTCATCTATTTAAATGGATAATCAAGAGAATTGACTGAGTTTGTTTAAATGTTTATGGATCTATTTGGCTGTTAAATTATAGAAATTTTTTAACATAACCTAGAATTAGTAGAATTTGATTGAACAAAGGAAAGTATATTGTTGTATGTAAGAACCACATATTTTTGTTTGAGATTGCTAGGAGATACTCTGTTCGGATAACAGAACGTTCGGATGTTGGAGGCTCTACTGTAATGATTCTGAACGCTGAACTGAAGCTCCACCAATAAACAGTCCACTGTATTCTGTCAAGTGTAACTGTAAAGGAAATCTCAATTTTTGGCGTTTCTGCCAACCAGCGCCATCTTGAATGAAACATAAGGGCGGGAAAGCGTTTCGAATTCAAACTGTATTACCAATTTATCGGAAGAATCAGTTAGTACTCGTCGATATAACTTGAGTTTGTTTTAATTTGGCAATTTCTGTAAGAACAATCCCGTGATTCTTATTTTTCAAGATCTGACAGTATGTGACTTGAAAATTTATGAAAAAAGCAAACTGGGTCAGTGGGAGATCAGTCAGGCAATAACAGGCGAGCAAACGTGCTCGTGATTCCACATTACTATCATCCTTGACATCATCACTGACACGTTATTAACTGTTAGTTAACGGTACCCACAGAGTTAAAAAACAATTGTTGCTCATTAATCAATGTCACGGTTGTAATTGTGTGGCGGTAATCGTCGGGCAAACACCAATTTGTTTTTTTATCAATTAATTCGAGTTTTTAGTGTCATTGCCTGGTTGAGATGCGCGCGTAGACGATAATTTCGTGTTATCAACGAGTACGAGTACGGACAAGTTTACAAACGATCAGATTGCATAAGCTCGGATAATCGAAAGATATGCTTAAAGTGGTCAGTTAAGTCATCGATAAGATGATGAACTTATCTGTGACAGATAGTGGTTCCTAAAACAGTGATTCTCCGATAAAACGATTTATCAACTACCATCTTGATATGTAACGTATGTTTATATCGACGTAACCTCCTTTATCGATCCAATTTTTTGAAACTGTTTCGCGATAATTTCATCGTGAGAAATCGCAGACACATCATTTTTTCCTATACGAGCCTTCGAAATGTTTTTCTCCAATATCAGGTGCAATTGGATTAAAAGAAAAATAAATTGTTGTATCTTTTGTATGGAAATGTAAGGAATTTTTTTCTCGAAAGCTTAAATTGGTAACGCAACTGGTTTTCCAGGAATTAAACAGTGAATATAGTGCTTTGAAGACTTCAACGATTGGCGAGGACGCATCCCTGAGTTTAACGTATTAAAACACGGTCCTACGGAGAGGATTAAAAACATTTTATGTGTTGGATTATTTTTTATTCCCTGTGTTCTGATGTAGTTTTTAAAATACACTATATTTAAGGCACCAAATTATTTGGATAACACTGCATTTTACGGAAATAAGTTCTATTCGTCTGTCATTGACATTTATCATTTACAGAGATCACTGAAATTCGTGGTTATTTTAAATTGATGTGATAAATACGTAATAACTTACGATCGAAGTGACCAATACGTAATCACTTAAGACCTAGGAAACTAATAATAAGTTATAAATATGATCTTTAGTAGGGAAATTCAACTGTCTCGTATTCTGACGCTCTCCGCCATTTTGGAATAAAAGTGCGGGAAACTGTATCGAATATGAATTAGAATATGAGTAATAAGACTGCCATGAATACAAAATTCAATGTAATTTCAAATTCCATCAAAGTCGATCCTTTAATAGTTATTTCCGAAGATCGAGGATTAAAAATGTCACTTGAACGAAATATCGAGTAACATTCATCGATAAAATAATGGGAAACTGTGTCGAAACATGCGGTAAACGTATGAATCAGTGGGACAGTACGATGGGTTACTACTTCGGGGAAGAATAGATTAACGCCACGAGCTATCCTTATCGTATCCGCGAAGCAAGCCTAATTGTTTCGGCAATCAGAAAGGCGTTGGAAGTTCCTCTACGCGTTGACGTGTTACAACTAACGCTAGTTATGTCATCGAGCGACAATGACGAGCCATGAATTCTCCTACAAATTTTCGGCGACCTATTCCACGATCTACGTGTTTCTTTATCAGCCCTGATATCTCATTCTCTCGTATCTGAAATCTGGTCATTAAACAAATTCACGGAGATTCACGATCGCGTGATTTACGGTGCCCACAATCGTGGAAAAATACGCGACACCTTAAAGAAAATTCGCTAACTCTGCGTCATATTTGTGTAACCATTATAAATCAATTCTACAAAAAAATATATCAATGAATTTTTCCACCATTAGTGCTAAACTTTTGTTCTTTCAATATTTTTTTAACATTTCTATACTAAATATGGCGGAACTATCGCCAGTTTAAAAAAATTTTAAACAGTAATAATTACTCGAAGTCGACGGGTCAATAATGACCCGGTCATAGGAACGTAAAGGTTAATGTACAAAACATGCTTGCTTTTACAATTCAATCAAGGTCGACTCTATTGATATGCTGCAGACAACAACATTATGTATAGTGCGCCACTATCTTATGCAAGTATAGTGGAGGGAGACACATTTATGAATCGGAATAATCTCTTTCTCGTTAAGCTGCCGTATATAAGAATCGTAAACACGTTGTGCACGCCCGATATCAGACCAATTACTTTTCCTCGAACCAGCTACGTAATGAAACGTCATTAATTAACAGTCGCGATTACGCGACCCCATGACACTTTTATCGCAGACATCCTGGATCTCGTGTCCATTGATAACGCTTATCGGTGTCGCTACCAAAGCCTCGGTATCTTTCTCTCTCTCCCTCTCCCTATCTAGAGCAAATCTAGAAAGAGTGAGAGAGAGAGAGAGAGAGAGAGAGAGAAACACAGAGAAAGTAAAAGACAGAAAGAGAGAAGCACAATAGTGAGAATATTTGGGCAGACTAAGACGGGAATAAATTTTTTTTTTGTAATCTGTCAGTCTGCCAAAAATTGCAATAAATGCTGATAATTTATTGTTACGGTAAGCAAATGTTTTTCGCCTAGTACATTAAATTACTTCGAAGCGATCTGTCTATAGGAATTATAGATACGAATCGCTGGAACTTTTGTGCACTTTACTAACTTAACTTGTGCTCAACTAATTTAAAAGTAGGTCCAGGTTAGGCCAACTTGAACGTTAGGTCCAGGTTAGGCCAACTTAAATGTTAGGTCCAGGTTACATTAACTTGAAAGTTAAACCTGGGTTAGGATAACGTGAAAGTTAGGTCCAAGTTAGGCGAACTTGAAAGTTAGGTTAGGGTTAGGATACCTCAAAAGTTAGGTCCAGACCAATTTAACTTGAAACTTGATTAAGTGTACTTAGGCCCCTAGGCATTGAAACACAATAATTTAAAAAACTCAGTCGAATTTCGTGAAACCTTCAGTTTATCAATTTAAACAAATAAATTATAAATCTTCCTATTATCTCATATGGCTTAAGGGGACTAATTAATGACTGGAGTACAACTTCAAATATACCGATCCAAAGCTACGTAGTAGAACTTCAGACCATGTACTTGAAGAACTAACAATCGAATTTACAATGGACGTACATGTTCTTGGAATTAGCCCTCCTGAGAAATTTCGTGGAACTGCCCAGCGAGATAATTATTTCACCTGGCGATATTTTTACGTTCGATCGAGAGAAAACGAAATGCAAGCGCGCATTTCTCGATATCGAATTGCACCGAGAGTCGATCTCGTTTTCGATAACAGCCTAATCTCCGACGGAAGACGTGTACTTTCCTTTCCTCTCAGACGACGATTTCGTAGAAAAATGGCGTGTGATGCCCCGCGAAATCGTAGATAACAAGCAAATGAGTCGAT